TCACCCACCCTGCAGTCCAACGTGGCCTGTCTCTCTCTCACACACACAATCACCCACCCTGCAGTCCAACGTGGCCTGTCTCTCTCTCACACACAATCACCCACTCTGCAGTCCAGCGTGGCCTGTCTCATCCTGCTCATCACAGTACCTTTCCTTTTTAAAACTCTGCAATGCTTTATTTCCAGATCTCTGACAGGGGCTTCACAGAAACCACGTCTGGTGCATCTCAGTTTAATTTCTACTGAATTACTCAATTTAACAGCAGTGCTGGCTTTAAACAGAATCATGTTAAGAAGTAATATTGGATTAATCAGAGTTCAAAAGCACCACAGATGAGTTTTTTGTGACAATTATAGACAGGAAGCGAGATCACGATTGTAAGGCCTTTTAAGAAAACAAAAATTAACTTCTCTAACGAGCTCAAGAGTCTCTCACAATCACAGGTTTGCTCCACTGCATCGAGACAGGGGTTCCCAGTCCGTGTCCTGGGGAGCCCCACGCCTGCTGGGCTTTGCTCTGGCTGAGCTTCTTACTTAAATTGGTGCTATATTCCCCTGCGCCCTCCCATTTGAGATCTCTTTCAAGGTGCGTTAGTTACAGAGGTGACCTCCAAACTGGACTTCCAAAAGAGCTGAAGACAAGAGTTAAAATGAAACCCCACTGCTATTTGTGGGTTGAGCCACACAACAGGGCGCTCAGTTGGAACAAAGCCCCACAGGTGTGAGGGGGGCACCCCCAGAGAAACTGTGCCGCGCCGCCCTCCAGTCCCGGAAATCACCAGGCCCTCTCTCATTCCCTCGGGAAGAGTGAGGGGGTCGGGTCCGCCTTCCTCCCGTTGTCCTCGGGGTCCCGAGACCGGATCGCTCCGCACCGGGGCAGCCCCCCAGCCGAACCCCCCCCACACACACACAGCCCGCAGGGCACAAACTGGGCTTGGGGCTCTCACCGGGCCTCAAGCTTCACATTGTACTGGGAGGGCTTCTCAAGGCACTGGCCAATGCCCCCGGCCCGCGGGGTTTTGTCCCGGTAAAAACACCGGCAGAGAGAGAACTTCACGCCGGGAACACGGAGGCACGGAAGGTGGGGGTGGTGGTTTCGGAGAGCTGAAAAACGCCTGCTTTCCTCGGGGACGGGCTCGGAGCATGGAAACGCCACCCTGGGACCGACCCCGCCAGCGCCTCCAGCCCCGACTGGGAAATGTGAGATCGGAGCTCCGACCCGGAATTAAACCGGACTCCGGCCTGCTTGCTGATCCAAACCCCACTCCCAGCGTGACGGCCACTGCCCACGATTTATAAAGCAGAAGATGGGCGATTAACCCCCAACAAACAAAGTCTGGAATCACTGAAATTGTACACTACCCCCCTTCTCACCCCTCCCATCCCAAACCTACAGACTAACAATACTAAACCAGCTCCTGCCTCCTGTACATATATAAAAGTCAATAATTAGAAGATTAACCAATATATATATAAAATTAAACACACTAGAACTTGGGGAGGAAGTTATTTCAAATCTGTATTTATCTTTCAATGGAAAACAAAAGCCATCAACAACAAGAGAAATTAAAAAACATTTTTGCTTAAAAAAATAATCTGAATTAAAAGTCTGCCCTGCACTGGTATGAACAACAGCGGGCTCTAGTGTTCAGTGGGAACTGCAGCTTTCAGAGGGCAAACAGAGCGCTGTCGAGTCCTTTCTGGGAAACAGCGGAAAGGGAGAAACCTCCAAGAGGAGAAAACTGATCGTGCAATAAAAAAGGGAACTGAACTGCAGCCCCCCAGAACTCCAACTGACAGACACGATAATCAAAGAGATTTCAATGGAGGGCTAAAGCAGTAGCAGACATGGCCTTGCCCTTCAGTGTGCTTTGCTACTAGAGACTGACACTACTGACTTTACAAGAGGTGCAGCTGTCATGCGCCCATAGATGTGTTACTGAAGGCAACAGCAGACCTGACTAATGCACCGACTCAAGAGAGAAACATTGTGGTCCCCAAAACAGAACAAACAGATCAAAGAGCAGAAATCATCATGGAAGAAAGGGAAACTCTGTTCATACTGAGGTATGAAGGTACAGACAACTAGAACCAAAACTCATGAGAATGGACCATCCCTGCCATTGCTACTACCTTCAACAATTATAAAGTAATGGACACTGCTGTGCGTTTGCCCTCATTCGATGACTGACAACAGGATACTAGCAGGTCCAGCTACAGAAATAAATGATTGTCTCAAGAGAATTACTCTAAATAGCCTAATAAAATTGAAGCTGAAGATTGAGAATTCGAAAGTGAGTGTTCTCTCTCCTGTACGAATCCGGGATATTTTTACATAGCAGCGCGTTGCTGATCTCCAGGCAGGGAGCAAACAAACTCATCTGGGACTGGATATTTGACGAAACTGGCTGCGGCAACGATGGTGCATTCTGGGTGTTCTCCCCCCCCCCCCCCCCCCCAAAAGAATGACTAATGTCAAGTCTAAAACTGAACCGATAGGATGAGCACTCACATGCTCACTTATCATTGACACTAAGCAGCACAGTCTCCGGCCCCCCTGCGATGATGCGAGTCTGCCACGGTCAACTCCGGGTCACTTCGTTCAGAAAGAGAAGGAGACAGCAAAAGAGAGGGAGGGGTGATTTCCAGTCGTCCACATTGCTATTCTGTATCCCTCCGTTACCGGCAATGAGAGGGGATTAATGGGTCTCTCCTGGCCAGACAAATGATCAGTTTTTCTGTCAGGGGGAAGAGGGGAAAAAAAAAAGCTTTGTTAGCAAACCAAGTCAGGATAATGACGTGTTCAAACAAGAAATCTTTCTGGGGCTTATAACAGACTTCCAACAGACTCAAGCGACTGCCCTTGGAAAACTAAATGAAGAGGTAGGTCGTGCAAGAGCAGCGACAAATGTTATTTTAAAAGGGGGTACAATTAGGCACGTTCTTAATGTCGAGAATAATAAAATTAGATAGGCAGCCCATGATCTGGACCTGTCTTGAGCAGGGAAGACTAGGAGGAGACCCGATACAAGTGTTCACGAGGGTGCCGATACAGGCAACACTTGTGAACTTCTGCAGGAGGACACTGAAACATTAAAATGCATTAAAAAAAAACAGATGGATGAGATTCTAGTACTAACAAATAGGAATCTAGCAGATCACCTAGGACACTACAGCATATTAAGTGCAGAGGGTCACATCTAAGCCAAGTGGAACTGGGTCTCTATAGAGAGGCAATACACCAAGCAACGCCAGGGCTTGATGGGCATGCACTTGGTCAGGTGTACCTCACTGTTAACAGTGCCGCCGTGTGGCTGGGCTGTGAACTTGTCATGTTGTCTGTGTGCCTGACACCTCAACTGAGCTGTGGGACATGGGCGAACAAGTCAATAGGCCTCCCTGCTGGATCAAGCCTGTATAGGACTACAAAAGTGTACCAGCTGACTTAACTGGAAATTTCCCAAATCTGGGGGCTTAAGAGGAAAAGTACCTGGCACTGGATAGCCAAACACCACGACTGCACGCACCCAAACACACAAGTTAAAGATGTGTTAGTAAATGAGTCAACAGTTACATGAAGTTAGATATGACCAAGTATTAGTCTATCACTGAGAGAGAGGGGTTAATACAGTCCAGACACTGACTGGACACTACAGTACATTAACACTGCACTGAGAGAGAGGGGTTAATACAGTCCAGACACACTGACTGGACACTACAGTACATTAACACTGCACAGACAGAGAAAGAGGTTTATACAGACACTGACTGGACACTACAGTACATTAACACAACACAGAGAGAAAGAGGTTAATACAGTACAGACACTGACTGAACACTACAGTACATTAACACTGCACAGAGAGAGAGAGGGGTTAATACAGTACAGACACTGACTGGACACTAAAGTACATTAACACTGCACAGAGAGAGAAAGGGGTTAATACAGTACAGACACTGACTGGACACTAAAGTACATTAACACTGCACAGAGAGAGAAAGAGGTTAATACAGTACAGACACTGACTGAACACTACAGTACATTAACACAGCACTGAGAGAGAGGGGTTAATACAGTACAGACACACTGACTGGACACTACAGTACATTAACACTGCACTGAGAGAGAGGGGTTAATACAGTACAGACACACTGACTGGACACTACAGTGCATTAACACAGCACTGAGAGAGAATGTACAGACACTGACATGACAGAGGGTGACCATGAGTGAGCAATGTGCTGGCGTACTGATGACATACCATGCTGACACATGCAGTGCAAGGAAAGGTTAGTCTAACCATCATAGGAGTCAACCAGAGGGAGAGAGCCCTTACTGCCCCCACCATACACACCACCCTGAGAGTGAGACAGGGGAGAGAGAGGGAAGGGTCAGCAAACAGAGAAAGAAAGATCAGCAAGTTAGTCCAGGTCCTGAAAATAAAACTGCGTTTGCCACAGTCCCTGCAAGACAGTCAGTACCTGAGCTCTGTGCAAGCCCCACACTTGCAAGAATGTTATATGAAAGTATATGTACATTTGGCTCTGACTGGCTGTGTGCATTCAGTATGCAAAGTACGTTAATTATGACTGTGTGCACCTCTCAAAGTCAAAGCTTTATTGGCTTGAACAATAAATTACAGGATTGTGAAAGCAATAATTAGCAAGACATTCACTAATGGGAACATTAGAGGCTCCCTCTGTTCCTCAGGCTGTGACAGAGATCAAATACTGGGCTGCAGCTCTATTGAGTTTCAGGTCAGGTCTGCCTGAGTCCAGTGTCTATGTCCAGGCTGTGGTCACTCTTTGGGCTGTCAGGACTGGACTGGACTGTGTCCAGCGTGATCATGCCTGTACCTGTATAGTGTCCCGGTCAGACAGGTCAATGGAGCGCTCCAGAGTATGGGTCCGGTCTCTCTGGTCCAGTGTGGAATAGGCATCTGAGAGAGAGAGAGAGAAGGAATGGGGCACACATATCAACAGAGGGAGGAAGTGAGAGAAATAATGGAGAACGAGGGAATTAGTCTTTCTGACTCACCTGGTCCCATATCATTCAAGGGGATCATGTCTCTGTCCCTGTCCCTCTTCTCTCCTGTGGATGACCCAACACAAGTGTCACACACACCTATACCTGCTCAGCTATTCGCAAACTGACAAGCTTTTATTCAATGGGGCAGCAGAAACGCGCGACAGAAGGAGATACCCGTCACCTCGCGCAGGACAGACGCTGTGTGGAGCCCCCCCGACGGGGAAACAGAGGAGTCCAGCAAATGGTCAGGTGGCAATCTGCACCAAAATCCCACAGCTTCCCCTCTCAATGACAGGACCGCAGCGCCACGGTGCCCGACGTTACCTCCTCTGTCGATGAGGGGCAGGGTGCTGTCCTCGTATCCTGCGTTGTTGTTCCGGGTTGCCTGGGGGGTCAGGGTCACCATGAAGTCGGTCTTCTTCCAGCCGTCCTTCTCCAGGGGGCGCCGCAGCTCCTTATAGCCCCACACCGTCTGCAGGACCTGCCCCGCCCCTCTCACCTCTCGGTCAGACCGGTTACTGCAACGAGAGGGCAGGCCCGGCCTCGTCACCAGGAGCAAACTGGACAGAGGGGCCGCAGTGAAGGACGCAGCCCGTCACGCCTGCTCCAGTTCACTGCAGTCCCACAGCCTCCAACTAAACAGCTGAATCTCGTTCACTTTTGCTAACTTGCCAGCAGCTCCATCAGCCTGCAGCCCCCTGGAGCTCAGCAGGAGGGAGCTTGGTCAGTACCTGGAGGGGAGACTCCTGGGAAAGCTAAGGCTGCTGCTGGAAGAGGTGTTAGTGGGGCCACTAGGGGGGGCGCTCACCCTGCGGTCTGTGTGAGTCCTCATGCCCCAGTATAGTGACGGGGACACTATACTGTAAGAAGGCACTGTCATTCTGATAAGTAAAACCGTAGTCCTGACTCCCTGGGGTCAGTAAAAATCTCAGGGTGTTTCCCCAAAGAGTAAGGGCGTGACCCTGGTGTCCTGGCCAAATATCCCCCTGGCCTTTACCCATCATGGCCTCCTAATAATCCCCCTCTCTGAACTGGCTTCATCACTCTGCTCTCCTCCACACTGAGAGCTCGTGTGTATGAGCAGACTGGAGCATCATCCAGGTGGGGCTGCACACTGGGGGTGGTGGAGGGGATCTCCAGTGTCTGTAAAGCGCTGAGTGGAGTGTCCAGAAAAACATTATAAACTTATAAGGCATCACTAATTATAACTTTGAGGCTTTGATTCTTGTATCCTGTCCCCTCCATGATTTCTGTCTCAAAGTCTAGCCCACAGACTTCTTCAGAACCAAAAGCAAAACTGGAACCCGAGGATACAACTGGAAGCCACGCAGGAGAGCATTTAAACCCGACAATAGGAGGCACTTTACACAGGCAGTGGTGGGAGTGTGGAACACACTGCCAAACCACTGTGTTGAACCCACAGTTCTGATCCCATCCTGCTGAACCTCACCCCAGTGAGCCCCACAACTTTCCCAACACCTCATCCTGAGCTCACCCACCCCCCTCGCCCCAGGTCGCCCTGCCCCACCCCCTCACCCGTCCTTGTTGATCAGCACCAGCTTCTCGATGCCCCCGGCCTGTCGCAGCGTCTTGGCGCCCTCCAGGTTCCTGACTAGCACCTCGTTGAGCGTGCTGAGGATGGACACGATGGTCTCCTCGGAGAGAGCCTTGGCCGGCTGCTGCTGGCCGCCCGGGAGGTTAGAAACGAGGTTGGGAACAGCGTGCCTCCCTGAAAGAGAGAGAGAGGGGGGTTAACCCTCTAATCCAGAGAGCACACTGGGAGAGAGAGGACCAAGGCCGTGGGGTGAGACAGGGCTGCAGCCTGAGCCCAACACTGTTCAATATCTATATCAACGAATTAGAAGGAATGTTGGAGCAGTCTGCAGCTCCTGGTCTCACACTACACGACACAGAAGTGAAGTTCCTGCGCTATGCAGATGACCTGGTCCTGCTGTCGCCCACAGAACCTGGCACTGCTGGAGCAGTACTGTCAGACCTCGGCGCTGACAGTCAATCTGGACAAGACCAGAGTTATGGTTTTCCACAAGAAAGCCAGACCTCAAGGAAACAGGTACAAATTCACACTTAACAACACATTGGAGCACACATATCTCGGTCTCACCATCAGCTCATCTGGGAGTTTTGACCTCGCAGTGAAGGAACTGAGGGAGAAGGCACTCAGGGCACTCTACCCAATAAGAAGGAGGCTCTTCAACATCAACCCACCAACAAGAATCTGGCTCCAAATATTTGAGAGTGTAATCCAACCCATTGCCCTATATGGCAGTGAAGTGTGGGGTGCCCTCATGGACCAGGATTACACTTAATGGGACAAAAACCCCACAGAAACTCTGCACATGGAGATCTGTAGGAACATCCTCCATGTGCAGAGAAAAACGCCTAACAATGGGTGCAGGGCTGAATTAGGCCAGTACCCACTATTGATAAACATACAGAAAAGAGTATTAAAGTATTAGCTACACCTTAAAAACAGCAACCAAAATTCCTACCACCACAAAGCCCTGCTGAGCCAAGAGCTGAGCCCAAAACAGAGCCCCCTGAGCCAGCTGGTCCTGAGGCTCAATGACCCAAGAAACACCGACACCAGCCAGCATCAGGACAGCAGTGCTAGAGCACCACAACTCAGACTCAACCACATCACAGATCAAAGAGCAATATCTCACACACTGGGACACACACAAACTGGAATGCTACAGAACCCTAAACAGACAATACACACTAGCCGAATATTTGACCAAGATAAGAAACAGCAAAAAGAAACAGACCCTGACGAAGAACAGGCTCAGTGACCACAGCCTGGCCATAGAAACTGGGCGACACAGGCAGACCTGGCTGCCCAGAGAGGACAGGCTGTGCTCCCACTGCCAGCGGGGAGAAACAGAGACAGAGGTGCACTTCCCACTGCACTGTGACAGATACTCTGGGATTAGAGAATCATTATTCCACAAATTCAGAAATCTAATCCCCGAGTTCCCAAACCTGCCAGAATCACAACAAATCCCAATCCTACTGGGAGAAGGAGGAGGGAACTCAGTTGAACTGGCAGCCCAGTATGTGATCCCCTGTCACAGCCTGAGGAACAGTGAGTCTGTCTCCCAATAATGTTCAATATGTTTACAGTACACAAATATTTTATGATGCGTCTTTGTTGTAAATGTCTGTAGATTTTATTTAATTTTTTGTTTCATGTTAATTTTATTTGCTTTGGCAACACTGACTGTACCCATCGGTCATGCTAATAAAGCACGTTGAAATGAACTGAAATTTACACAGGTTAACCCCCTAATCCAGAGAGCAGACACTGCTGGGTACACACTGGGAGAGAGAGACAGGTTAACCCCCTAATCCAGAGAGCGGACACTGCTGGGTACACACTGGGAGAGGGAGACAGGTTAACCCTCTAGTCTGCAAAGGTGGCACTTTGAGAGAAAGACACCAGTGGGCACCAGAAATCTAGCAGGTGTGGGACTGAACTGCATGTATGAAGACCCCAGAGTCACAGACCCAAGGGATC